TGTGTGGGGGGGGGGGGGGAGCTAGGGGCTAGGGGGGCTGCTGGGGTAAGAAGCAAGAGCGGTGAGAAGCGGAAGTAGTCCTCACTTGGATGACCAGACGGGTTTCGGGGCCAAGGGGAGTAGGACGTAAGTGGAAGAGGGGAGAGTGGATTGGTGGCGAGAGCTTTCGCGGGTTCTGCTGTTTCGGGATGTTTGCGGCGGGGTTTTCGCAGCTCGGGGGCGCAGGAGACAGACAACGCCGGGCAGAGTCGACAGGCAAGATGTAACTTCAATACAACAAACGGAATACGTTAATGATTGTTTTATTGTTGCATGGAGACCTGGATGGAGACCATAGAAAGCCACGGATGACCGCCGCCGCCGGCGTTGCAAACTGGTGATGGTCGAATAGCTAATAAATGAATTAAATTTATATCTCACCTTGTTTTTCTGTCCGCTAGGTCCTCCCATTTGTTCTGGGCTACGCTAAAGAAGGAGATTAAGCTACTGCGCTCTCATGGCACGTCATATCATTACAGATTTCATATCAAAATCGTCAGCAATTTCACATGGTTCACTCAGCTTCACAGTGAGACAATGGGGCCCTGCTCGCTTTCGACTAGGGTTGGAGACGTGTACGGCAGACTTCGTCGGCAATGCAGCTTAAACTCAGAAGACTGCCTATCTTTGATGCCCGCTGGCTGGATCACATGCCCGCGTTGGCTTGTCAAGTTGATTTTGAGGGCCCTTATTTGTTGAATTTGCGCACCACGTGGGGGTTGAGACTGCGCAACCATCGCCAGCACGCCGCCCCACAGAATTCCCACACCGGACTGAACACAATAAATCTCTGACGTAGAGTTTTACCATTGACGGCCATTCGTGCTGCTCAGGGTTTCCTCAGGGTTTCCGTCGGAGGAATTGAAGCTTACTCTGGATCTCTACGATGCAGCTATCCTCCTTAAATCAAGGAAGAATGAACTATCGTATCCCATCTGAGCTTCGAGCTGGTCCAGGACAGTTCCTTACTGGACTGCGTGACGATGATAGCCTTCTCCGTCAGGTCTTTTTCTCCATCCTGCGCCACCATCATCCAAATTTAGCGGCGAAGGTAAGCTTGTTAATTATTGCTAGGATATGCCCGCTCGCGTCAGCGTGCTGCTTCTTGGCAGGGGCTGTCGGCGATTGCGGGCGTTAGAGGCCAAGGGCTTGCAAAGGCTTCCGGCTAGATTTCATTACTGTAACGCGCTATAAATATATTTTGAAACCTGTTCGGTACAGATTTTGTACCGGTGCACGCTTGAGCTCGCAGTGTAGCTGTCCGTGTGTCCCAAACCCCACTTCGACATCAGCACTCCTACAATCAGCTTGACCCCCGTTGCATGCAAAACATTTCACTCACATGACCTCATTTCATGTCACTGTCTGTAAATCTTTTATGACCTGGACGTGGTCCGGGGAACCCTCGTGGGCCGTTCCTGCCTTCCCTTCCTCTTCCCCCGAAAAGGGTGGGGGCTCTTTAACGAAAAGGCACACGGGCCTTATGTGCACCCCTGTTAGGAAACCCGCTTGACCCATTTGCGAGCTCCTGTGGCTGAGGCCCCCGCTGGCCCCGGGCCGTCTTCGTTTGTTAACTCATGCTGCAAATCCGTGGAGGGAGGCGGCAAACAACTATCTAGCGGAAAGAGAAATTAAGAGAGACCCAAATGCTTTCGTGTCACCCGGCTGCCCTATTGCTGCTGTAACCGCGACCGCCGCTGCTGCTGCTGTTGTTGTTGTTCTTGCTGTTGCTGTTGCTATCCCTCAAGGTTGATGTCATCTACGCCTTGAGCCAGGCGTGGTGCACAAGTCAGGTGCGCAGAAGTGGCACGGGTGGGACTGTTTGCAGCGTTTGATGGGTGGTTGCGTAAAGACGGTGAGGCCGCGGGGAGGAAGCTGCTTAACCCAGTGTGGAATTCCTCTGGCCCGGCTTATGATCCGGATTCATATGATGTCTAGAAGAATCCAACCCACATTTGCCGCATTAGACAGAGGGGAACCTCTTGGCCTCGCCATCCGATTTTCTAATGTACGACGATGTACGATGATGTACGGCACCCTGCAATAAGGGAGGAGGGCTCTTCGGGCTCCTCAGCCGGAGTGCGGCGAAGTGTCCGTGCTGTGTAAAGTAGGGTTTGAGCTGGCGGAGATGAAGGGGTTGGGGCGGAGGGAGAGCTGGGAGATTGCCAGAGAGTGAGGAAATGTGTACGGCGAGTACGGCGAGATCCGATGGGATTTACTTTTCCTTTTGTAAATCTCCTCCACAGTATATGGATAATCGAAATGGCACAAACCCAAATTGCCAGTGTCTTGCCAGTATGGCACGAACCCAAATCGCAAAGTCCGGCCAGTGTCACCATCCCACCACCGCCCTTTTAAAACGGGCTCCCCCTGCGCCACCCTCTTGCTGCATACTCGGTGTTTCTCGACCCCTTTTTTCCCCCTTTTTTCGCCACCATGCTGCTTGGATTTCAGTCGGATTCGGATTTTGAGCTGTTGGTCAAGTACGTCACGGATCTTAAACCCGAGGAGCGGATCTTGGTAAGGCAGTCTAGTGTGGGACAATGCCGTAACGGCGGAGGGTGGGATTGGAGAGGGAAAAGAAGCTGTGGGAAACTGTTCCTGAGTGCCGTGTCCAGCCTCGCAATGCTGCTGCTGCTGCACGTGGCGGTGTGTGCCGTACGCACTGGCGACGTTTGTCCAGACGTTCACTGATGAGCTTTTCCCATTGTTCAAGGAGGCAAAGAAGCTGTCCCTCGAAAGCACGTGTATTGCACTACTTTCAGTACGTAGCATATAAAATAAAGAAACACGCACCACCGTCACGGTGCAAAGTAGTTGACATGTTTTAACCCTCTCATGTCCCCGGCACGGTCCCTATCCGCAGCTGCACACCGCCCTGCCTCGGCCCTCACCCCCCTCAAACCTCTCTATCTATGGTATCTGCTTCATTCGCCAGTGCTTCATTGCGTCCCCTGAACCCCCCTGAACCCCCCTGGTGCCCAACATAGGGCTTGTGAGTCGGCGATCTGGGACATGTTTCTTTTTCCTTTCCTTCCTTCCTGTCTGTCTGTCTGTCTGTCTGTCTCTCTCTCGGTCACCGCCACCCGTCTTTATCCCCATGCAATGACCTCCCCGATGTGCACTCGCGCTCGCACTTTAAGATTTGCATTTGGAATTAGTTCTTTGTCGTTTTCGACATTCTTTCCTCCTCGTTACCCCATACCCGAACTGACCGACCCGCGGGTCGCTCTTCTCTCCTTCCCCTCCTCCTCTTGTGTGTGCAGGTGGCCAGTTCCTTCAGCCACATGCTCAACCTGCACAACCTGACCGAGGAGGTCAACAGCAGCCAGATCGGTCGGGCAGTGCGACTGGGGGAGGTGGGTGGGGGGGGGAGTGGGTTGGGGGGAAAACACAGCTGCTGCCGGTCTGATGTTTCCTCCCAAGCGATTGCTTGCTTGATCGCTTCTTACCTTCCCAAGTACCCCCCCCCCCTGGTGGTTCGTCTTACACCCGTACGGTCAGGCACGCGCTTTGGTATTATGTGTGGGTGTGTGGGTGCGTGTGGGAAAAGGGGGGTAATGTGGAGTGTATGGCAGCGACAAAAACGAAGCGGCCCGTGTTGTTCTCCTTCTCCGGCGTGTGCACCTTTTCTCCCCCATTCGCTAATTTCCCCCCTTCAGCTTTTCTTCATTCTCTTACGGTCTTTCATTCGGTGCCTCCTCCTCGCCCTCCTCGTCCCGCTCGTCCTCCTCCCCCTCGTCGCTGCAGATGGACTCGCCCACGCGGGACACCAACCACTCGCTGCTCAAGTTGACCGCGGTCAACGGCCTCACGCCGCAGCAGGTGTACGACACGTTGTGCAACCAGACGGTGGAGCTGGTGCTGACCGCGCACCCCACCCAGGTACATGAAAAGGATGAAAAACACAGCACGGTTGTGCTGGGAGGGGACGGGAGGGTAGGAGCGGGGTAGGGGCGGGGTAGGGGCGGGGTAGGGGTTCTAAACCGCATTAGTGGCGAAGTCGGTGTCGTCGATCGTGTCCTTTTTTTCTCTTAGTGCGTGTCTATTTTTGTTATATCCCCCCACTCCCCGACTCTCTTGCAAAGTACGAGTAACTTCCTTCCTCCTGTAGCAGCTGGCCGCGCTGGAAAGGCCTCTTGAGACGCTGTTTGAGCACCTTGGCGCGTATTTGTAGACGTCGTATGTGCCGTACTATATGTGTACGAGCTACCAAACCTGCCCCTTCCTCCGCCCCCCCCCCCAATCCTCGCCTCGGGTTGTTTCCCTCTCTTTCTCACCGTAAGGCCCTCCGCGCCAGCCTGCTGAAAAAGTACGCCATTGTACGGCGGGAGCTGGATACGCTGCATTCCAAGCGTATGAGCGAGTACGAGAAGATTGGTGAGATCTGAGCCGTACAGCGGGGCCATGATGGGGTTGTGTTCACTTGCTCGTGTGTGTGAGTTTGAGTATGTATGTGTATCTGTATGTATGTGTGTGTAATGTCTTAAGTTTCTCTCTCCCCCCGGGGCGGAGTTTAATGCCTGGGTATGTATGCAGCTTAGGGAACGTTTGCGCTCCTTAGGCTACATACATACGTACGCACATACACATTCTATATCATAAACACACACACACATCGCTATCACTCTCCCCGCTCCCTTACACCGTCAGAGACGCTGGAGGCTATTCGTGCTGCCGTACAAGCGGCTTGGCGCACGGATGAGATTCGGAGATCCAAACCAACACCGCAGGTGGGGTCCATTTCGCGATAGTAGTGGCTGAATGCTAAATGGCCCTTCGGCTTCCCGTCTGTCTGTATGTCTGTTGGCCTGGTTGAGCGGGCTCCTACGGCAACTCCTTGTTTCCGTACTGTACGTACGTGCGCTCGCCACCCAATGGCTCCTTCCCGTGCTGCCGTATATATGTATGTATGCACATCTTTCGCACTCTCTTAGTGCTTTTGCAAGTAAGTTTTTACACATTCCCTTGACCCACCCACTGGCCCTGGTCTTCCTCTTCCTACCCTAACACGGGCCCGCCCGCCAGCCCGCCGCCATTCCTTAGGTTCGTCTGTTCTTTCCCCCAGCCCACTCTTTCCCCCACCCCCCATCCCCCGCCTCCCCCCACCCACCCCCCCTTGAGCGCAGGACGAGATGCGGAGCGGTCTGAGCTACTTCTCCACCGTCCTGTTCGACGTGGTGCCCGTGTTCCACCGGCGAGTGGATACGGCGCTGGAGAAGATGGGGCTGCCCCGGCTGCCCCTGGATAAGGCCCTCTTCAAGTGAGGGCGCGCACGTGTGTGAGATTGTGTGCGCATGTGTATGTATGTATGTATGTATGTATGTATGTATGTATGTATGTATGTATGTATGTATGTATGTATGTATGTATGTATGTATGTACGTACGTATATATTTGTTACACATCGATTCGGGCCTGACGCTGGCCAGGGGCACCTAACTGTACCCCAACGGGAACGGCCGCCGACACGCTTTCCTCCTTAAGTGTGGGGTTGAGGGACGTGAAGGGCCACTATCTCCTGTATGTATGTCGGGGTGAGCATAGGTGGGAAGTATGCAAACGGCAAAACCGACAACTGCCGACGAGCAAAGGACCGAATGCGGTTGCTGTTGGGACATGGGACGTGGGGAACGGCACCTTCACCTCCATCTCCGCCTTCACCTTTACCGCCTTTGCATTCATTTGCCTGTTAAGCAACTTCGCCTGTAATGCTCGTTTCTACCTTAAAACACACACGCGCACACACGTGTACACATACACGTACACAAACATGTACACATACACACACCACACACGTCCTCCATAACCCCAACCTTGCTTTATTTCCCCCGGCCCCCCCCCAGGTTTGGCAGCTGGATGGGGGGCGACCGCGATGGGAACCCCAACGTGACTGCTGAAACCACCCGGGACGTGGTGGTGCTGGCCCGGCTGGAGACGGTCAACGCGTACTTCAGACAGGTAGATGTGTGTGTGTATGTGTTTCCTCGTCCCTTCTTGCTTCGAGGTCTACTTCTGCGTCGCCTTCCTGAACCCTTTTTTGGCCGTTTCCTCCCACCCCTCCCTACCGGTGTGGTTTCCACCCAACCACCCCAACCACCCCAATCCCGTCCGTAGGTGGAGAGCCTGATGTTCGACTTGAGCATCTGGAGGTGCAGTTCGGAGCTGAAGGTGGGGTACTGGTGGCGGAGGGGGGGGTACGGCAGGATGGGGGGTACGGCAGGGAACACCCCCCGCCATACCCGCCGCTGTAATGTAGATGTTCAATAACTATGTTCTGTTGGATCAAACGCCCTTCCCTCCCCACGGCCCTTCATTCGTGTGGTTCGTCTTTTCCCACGGCCCTTCCCTCTCCCCTTCCCCCCACACACGGCCCTACACGTCGCCACACGTCCCCACATACACGCACACAGAAGAAACACAAAAACACACACGGACCGTTGGGCCCCCGCTTTCCATCGTGCTAGGAGGGAAACACACGCACTCACGCTTCCTACCATCCCCACCCTTCGTTTCCCCTCCCCCTTCCACCGCACATACATATGTACATAATACATACATACACATACACACACACACGCGCGCGCGCGCACAGGAGCTGGCCGAGCGTATTGCCGCCGCGGAGAGTCGCGAGGCCGCCCGTGTGGCCGAGGAGCGCAAGAAGCGCAACTACGCGGACTTCTGGGCGCCCATACCCGCCACTGAGCCGTTCCGAGTGGTGCTGTCGCACATGCGGGACAGACTGTACAACACACGACAGGTTGGGGGGGAATGACGTGCGAGAAACGTATTGGGGGGGAGAGGGCGGGAGGGGTCCGTATGTTTTTTCTGTCCTCCAGCCCTCCATATTGATGTTTTGGACTTTTCGACAAGCGATGCTACCTTTGGCAATCTATTTCGGATTAAGTTACGTTTTGTCATATAACTTTGGCTAGTGTCATTCCATCTCCCCCTCT